GGTAAAATCTGTCATATAATTCCCTAATAAGCATAATAATCATAATTTTTGGTTTAATCACATTCAATTAAACTTGGAGACATAGATTTTCTGTTACATTGCGCAGACTCATTAGTTTTCCACTCAAATCTGGTCATATTAATTTTCTGATTTGCATAATTACTTTTCAGCTAAGTAATTTCGAATTATATTTAATGTGTCTCCAATACTCTCAGCACATGGGAGTTCTTTCTAAGCTTTCTTTGATTATCTAACTTGTCAGACTTTCAGGAATATCTTAATTTCGACTTGCATGTATGTGTTCATAATTTTCATATATGTTTCCTTACGTCTAACATCCCTATATGTTTTTTGTTTCATTTTCCGCATAAACTTTTCGACCTTTGAGTGAATGTTTCAGACTATCAAGTTAACATCTCCGACTTTGTATTTAACTTTCACGAATCTGTAATTCTTCTGAACAACCACTGTGCAGAAAATAATATTGTAATTAAATGCTAATCTACACTAATTTTTCTTACTTTTTATCTAACTTGTCAGACTTTCAGGAATATTTTCATTTCGACTAGCATGTATGTGTTTTTAATTTTCATATATGTTTTCCCACGTCTAACAATTGGATATGTCGGAAAATCAATGTTTATCAACACAAATGTTGCACATGCATAGCGCAATGAGTACCGCCTTTAAGTTGAAGTAATAAAGTATAAAAGAGTAGAATGCAAGACAATAAATGACAGAGGTTTGTCTATGGTAAAAATAAATTGTATTTTAATGATCATCATGTAATAAATACTATTAGTTTATATGCAATTTAATAAAGCAAATATTGTAATAGTAAATATCAATTATATCAAGAAAATTGTGAGCAACCATTACAAGATTGTTTTGTATTAACCATATTTTGTTATTCTATCAACAGTGCAGTTAAAATACTTGCTACTAATAGAAGAGACATTCTGAAAGCTGTTTATTTAGATGGTGCTGAAATGACGGATAAATCATTGAAATATGTCTCTGACTGTAAACATTTACGCGTACTCAGTGTGTCCTTTGCTGAACAATTAACTGATGTATCACTCAAGTATGTCAAGGTAAAATATCACATGAAAGTCTGCAAGTCACAACAGATTAATTAACCAACCAGTTTAATGTCAACTCTTCTCAAAACAAACCCACATATTTTTTCCATATTTTCCTAAAATATTTCAAGCCAATTGGGAATGATGTTCATTTGGAAAACAATTTACCAAGTGCAAAATTGTTGCTGCGGGGACTTATAATTCGATCTCCGTGTGTCCGTCAGTATTCGAACAACAATCTACGTTGGGTCGTGGCTAATGATGGCCAAATAAATTTTGGCTTTTGACGTAATTTTAATTTATGAATTTGTAGTGTGTAATCGCAATTTAGATTTTAGCTGTGATTTTTGAAGTTATACTTGCGGTGGCGACATTTAGTAGTGTTCAACAATATTTTGAAATGAACAACAAAAATCAAAATCCTATTTTCAATTTGGGACATTTCATTTTTTGGCTATTTGCACATTTTCAGTCAACTGCAAGCCCAGCAATGCGCATTCTACAATGTTACCAGTCAGCTCTGTTTTGACATCTACTTTTTGTTATTCATATAGATTGACACGTGCTCATTTCGTACATGATGTCATCATATTCTAGAACTAAAGCCACGCTAACCGATTTGTGACCTTGCTAATTAGTCCCCCTTCGAACGAAGCCGAAAACGGGAACTTATAATTCGGTCTCCGTTCGCCCGTTCGTCTGTGCGTCCGTCCGGAGTCATATCTCAGAATCCCTTGGACCGATTCCGTTCATTCTTTGCATGTGCCTAGTACTTTATGTGGGACATATGCACATGCAGTGGTTAAGCGATTCGATTCAAAATGCCCGACTGGCAGCCATCTTGTTTTTTGAAAATGTTGTATTTTGGACATGCTTTGTCAGTTTTCATTCAAACTTGGTACATAGATTATACATGTTAGGATACATGTCCATGACGATTTATTTCACAATTGGATCAAAGATGGCCGACTGGCAGCCATCTTGTTTTTTGAAAATGTTGTATTTTGGACATGCTTTGTCAGTTTTCATTCAAATTTAGTACATAGATCATACATGTTAGGATACATGTCCCCGACCGTCCGTGAGTTCCTGAGTCTGTCCGTTTGTCCGTGTGTTCAGAGTCATATTTCAGAATCCTGTTGACCGATTTCGTTCATTCTTTGCATGTGCCTAGTACTTTATGTGGGACATATGCACATGCAGTGGTTTAGTGATTCGATTCAAAATGGCTGACTGGCAGCCATCTTGTTTTTTGAAAATGTTGTATTTTGGACATGCATTGTCAGTTGTCATTCAAACTTGGTACATAGATTATACATGTTAGGATACATGTCCATGGCGATTTATTTCGCAATTGGATCAAAGATGGTCGACTGGCAGGCATCTTGTTTTTTTTTATGCGGTATCTTGGACGTGCTCTGTCAGTTTTCATTCAAATTTGGCACATACATGTACTTTATACATGTTAGGATGCATGTCCATGACAATTTGTTTCAAAATCTGGTCAAGGATGCCCGATTGACAGCCATCTGATGGTGATACTTGGTGTATATGTACCTTGGGTAGACCTCTCTCAGATTTGTTCATTTCATGATCATATCTTCAATTCTCTAATTTTGATAAATATTTTTGTAATTTTTGGTAAAAGTGATATTTTCGACTTCTTGTTAAAAACTGCAAGTCCAAATGCTTTGATATTACATATATAGGTACTACATGTGGTCCTCACTCAGATTTGTTCATTTCATGATGATATCTTTAATTCTCTAATCTTGGTGAATATTTTTGTCATTTTTGGTAAAAAGTGATATTTTTGACTTCTTGTTGAAAACCGAAAGTCTGATTGCTTTTATATTACATATATAGGTACTACATGTGGACCTCTTTCAGATTTGTTAATTTCGTGGTGATATCTTCAATTATCTAATTTTCATGATTATTTTTGGTGAAAAGTGATATTTTTGAATTCTTGTTGAAAACAGCAAGTCCTGTTGCTTTGATACTATACATATTGTTCATTTTCTAATGATATCTTCTGTTCTTTAATTGCAATGTGCATTGCTAACAGCGGAGCTATCTCAGCTGACAGGCTGCTTGTTTTTTTAAATGTTTTTATGCCAGAAGACAATTCCGGACATTGAATGTCACTGTTGTCTCTCCTGACTTTTTTTTTTGTATGTGCAAATTGCAAGTGCTAGTGCTGACACATGGTGCATTTTTGCCACAGAAGTCATATTTGTGTTTGGGAATACATGACAGGGCTGTGACAAATTTACTATGCTATCCTTGCGTCAATCGTTCGATCAACGCACCTGTTGACCTTAACCAAGGTTCCCCCAAAGTTAGTGAATAAATCTCGGCCAGTGGAATAGGCCTTCCCATTGAGTCTGTGGCACACTCATCCAAGGTAGGGGGGGTCAACCCTTTTTGATGTTCAGCCTAAGGTTGGATTTGAACTTTGGTCTGTCAATCATGAGTAATGCAACAACCAATACGCTACCAGTGACCAGTCTACTTGGTAACACATGATGTATCAACAATTGTTACACATTCAAAGACCAGCTGAGTCTAGTATGTCCAATAACTCTGATTGATATGACTTACCTACAGTTACATGTGCTTATCAAGGACATGTGCATGTGTATATGATTCAATCCAAGACACTGGACTGCAAGGCATTTTTTACCTAATAAAGTTATTTGTTTAATCGCACATGATAAACTTGGTGCAAAGTGTTTGTATGCAGATGAATATGACATGCATGCACACAAATAATAATTCTGATATTAGTTGCTACTGGAGAAATACCTAGAAATGTATACATGTGATAAATAGGATATCACAATTCATGACTTATGATATAAGATTTATTAAACTTGTGATGTAATTTTCTTATGTTCCTTGCCAAAAGATCAGAACATGTGAAAAATTTATATAACTGTATGAATATCTCATGTTTCCCTTGAATTATTTTTCACTTTTTTTTTTACCTGACGATTTAACGTCAGCAAATTTCGGTGTATGGTATATTTCTATGAGTTTCTTTTACACAATTGAAGCAATTGATTCGTTTTATCACTTATTTTACAAAATAGTTTTATTTTTTACTCTAAATTTTTTTTCTAGACAGTTCATTTGTTTTCAATGAATTTTCAGGGATGATTATTCAGGTCTATCCTCCTGTAAATAAATGGCTTTGTGTGGTTTCACTGTCTTCACTGGAACAGAAGCAATATAGCTGCCAATTAGCGGCTCTGTTAATTGTGAACGATTGAGCACTGTGTGAAAACTTTTCAATGGAAACAGTAATAAATGAGCCATTATGTTCCTGGTAAACAGAAGTTTAAAAAAAAAATGTTTTTTAATCAAAATCAGGATATGCATTCAAAAGTTAAATAGTTTTAAGTGCACTTTCACCTAAAATGCATGATTTTAACCCAAAATCCACACCACTTAATATGGTATCATAGTACATTATTGTAAACCATAGAACTTGAAAGTTCAAATAAAACTCTTTCAAATGATATATAACTTGATGGGTAAAAAGTATATTTTACTTGTGTAATTACAGTAAATAGAGCCAATTAAAAATATAGTCTCCCAACCTGCATCTCTACCTTAAGAAGTCTGATATCATATTGTGGCCATTCTATAACTCTTACTAATAGTACCCGGTAATGTATAATATATTTTTTTTGCAGAAACTGACAAATCTTCATCATTTACGTTTAAAAAGAGGAGTAGAATACTCTGACTATGCTTTGGTGGATACCTTCTCCTGTGCTAATCTCCATCAACTCACATATCTTAATTTAACAGAATGTTCAGAGCTCAGTGATAAGGCACTGCAATACATTGCTCTTGGGTAATATCATCTTTTTATTTATAATACAATTAATAATCTGCTCTCAGAAGAGATTTTGTGTATTTAGCTCACTAATACTCTCATAATGTTTTATATAGCAAAACATTATCAAGCTAACTGCTGACTGGTTTGCTATCTGAACAATTTTATGAGGGCACATAAAGTCAGTATAACATGCTATACCTGACTTTCTATGAGGGCACATAAAGTCAGTATAACATGCTATACCTGACTTTCTATGAGGGCACATAAAGTCAGTATAACATGCTATACCTGACTTTCTATGAGGGCACATAAAGCCATTATAACATGCTATACCTGACTTTCTATGAGGGCACATAAAGTCAGTATAACATGCTATACCTGACTTTCTATGAGGGCACATAAAGTCAGTATAACATGCTATACCTGACTTTCTATGAGGGCACATAAAGCCATTATAACATGCTATACCTGACTTTCTATGAGGGCACATAAAGCCATTATAACATGCTATACCTGACTTTGATGTACTATGTACAGTAATTTATACAAATTTATAATATGAAATTGTGAAATCCTTTTTTACAATAATTGATCGTCTATGTGACCCTTTTGATCCTGGTTTCAGGCCTCGGACTTGACAGGGCATATAATGTGTATGTCATGCTGGAATAACATAAAGGGCATCAGTGTGTACTTGTGGTTTGACTTAGAAAATTATCTTCAGATGTGTACAGTAATTGAGTCAGCAAGTTAGCTGGCAGTGTTGCTGATTTGCTGTAAAAAAATATTACCACATATGACGATGACAAAAGAACATTCTATTTTATAGGGGTCTGAAGTTACGTCAGTTAGCCCTTTGCTGGTGTTGGGAAATTACAGATACTGGACTGGGATACATAATTGAAAAGTGCAGGTAAAGCATATATTTCATGAAGTAAAATTTAAATCAAAGTAAATGTCAAACACTAATTGCCATAGGGTACTGTCCATATATTGCAGCTAATGGAATGGTGGGAGACAGCCAGAAAGACCAATGAACAATGTGATGACAATTATTTATGTTTGATTCCTGTGTGCAAAGCACACAATATGAGTCTTTGTGGTTACTGTGTATGTATGTGTGTTTGTATGTGTGTTCCACCATTATCTCAAAAACCTTGTTTATTGGTATTGCAGCGAGATGGAGACCCTTGATTTGCTTGGATTGGATAAGATCCTTGGCATGTGTTTGGTACATATTCCAAAGTGTATGCCAAGATTGGCATTTCTTGATTTAAGGCAGTGCAATAGAGTAAGTATCTTTTGTTGACTTTTAGAACAGTACTGGTACTTCAAATCGTTCGTTACATCTGTTGTGATTCAGCTTTTTATTCAATGAAAGACAATGCTACAAAGTTTCTTTAGTTCTTTAATATATAATTTTAAATGTTCTTCTCAATTTCGAATTTATATATATTATTCAATACATGTATAAAATATCACCTTTTTTCAATTTTAGATTTCAGATTTTATGCTGACTGATTTGGTCATCAAGAAACCCAATCTTGTGATTATAAATTACTATGGCGATGAAGTGTCACCACAGTCGATGTGAAGCATATTATCATAGCTCTAAGTGATAATGTCACGGTTCTGCAGACAACATGACATCATCACGTGACATCTCAGTCCCACACATGACATCACACATGACATCTCAGTTCCACACATGACATCATCACACATGACATCTCAGTTCCACACATGACATCATCACACATGACATCTCAGTTCCACACATGACATCATCACACATGACATCTCAGTTCCACACATGACATCATCACACATGACATCATCACACATGACATCATCACAACATGACATCTCAGTTCCACACATGACATCATCACATGACATCTCAGTTCCACACATGACATCTCAGTTCCACACATGACATCATCACACATGACATCACAACATGACATCTCAGTTCCACACATGACATCATCACATGACATCTCAGTTCCACACATGACATCATCACACATGACATCATCACAACATGACATCATCACAACATGACATCTCAGTTCCACACATGACATCATCACACATGACATCATCAGTTCCACACATGACATCATCACACATGACATCTCAGTTCCACACATGACATCATCACACATGACATCTCAGTTCCACACATAACATCATCACACATGACATCTCAGTTCCACACATGACATCATCACCACATGACATCTCAGTTCCACACATGACATCATCACAACATGACATCAGTTCCACACATGACATCATCACACATGACATTATCACAACATGACATCTCAGTTCCACACATGACATCATCACACATGACATCATCAGTTCCACACATGACATCATCACATATGACATCATCAGTTCCACACATGACATCATCACACATGACATCTCAGTTCCACACATGACATCATCACACATGACATCATCAGTTCCACACATGACATCATCACACATGACATCATCAGTTCCACACATGACATCATCACAACATGACATCTCAGTTCCACACATGACATCATCAGTTCCACACATGACATCATCATCACAACATGACATCTCAGTTCCACACGGGACATTCATTAAAATTCTGAATTTATTCTTTTACATATTTAATAAATTCAACCATGAACTGAAATCAGTAGTTGCAAGATGTGCGTTATTAGTGGCTAATTGTCCTTGTTCAGACAAACTTAAAAAAATATGGACTGGAAATGCATGTTTTTACCGCTGTGAGTTTGTCTGTCCACTCAGACCTATATCCTGGACATGCCTTGGATGATCACATTCAAACTATATACACACATCATATGTCTTGGAATACATGTGCACTTTTATGAACGGAACTTATATGAGTGATATTCCATTGTTTGTCGTCCGTGTCAACTTTTTATCTATTAGACTTCTTGAAAACTACAATTGTTATTGCTTTGATACTTAGTGTACCGGTATATGTACCTTGGGCAAACCTTTCTCAGATTTGTTCATTTAGTTATATCTTCAAATCCCTAATTTTGGTGAACAAGTGATATTTTTGAGTTTTTGTTAAAAACCACAAGTCTGATTGCTTTGATATTATACATATAGGTGCTACAGGTAGACCTCTCTCAAATTTATTCATTTCGTGATATTTTCAGAACTTTAATTAAATGTGCATTGCTAACAGTGGAGCTATCTAGCTGAGAGGCGGTTTGTTCAGTTCATGATCTGGGACAATATGGCCAAATGTCATGTATAGATCTCATTCAAACTTACGGTAGTACATACAATGGACATTATGGACCATTGATGCACGCCATTTTCTTTCTGATCAGAAATAAAGGTGGTTCCAGAGCTAATCACTAACAATCATGTTCCAACTTTGTTAAATCTTGTCACACGTATTGTTTGATAATTCGATTCAAGATGGCCAATAAATACATCAATTTAAAGCATTTCTGCCATGTCAGACCCAGGTTTTTGTTGTACATTGACTGATCACAATAAAACTCGTGTTCTGTTTCAGAATGGCTGACTAGTTTCAGTTTTGCTAGCTCTCGTCAGTCAATACAGTTTCAAACTATGTTCCGAAACACACTCTGCACAACTAGCCTCAGAAGTATGAAATGTTCAAAATTTGCGTGGATGTAATATCAAACAAACCAATCATATGAGAAATGTTTCAGGTTCCAAGTGTGACTCTGTGAACTTCCTATGATGTTAAAAACTCAATCACAACCGAATCTACAACATGTTTAGTAATGTAAATTCTGATTTTGATACACCAAAGACTACAATAAATAAATAAATAAAAGCTTAGAAAGAACTCCACAGTAGAAATATGAAATACTGGTACTACAGCAGGCGCCAGATCTCCAATCTCCTTATATGAAATACTGGTACTACAGCAGGCGCCAGATCTCCAATCTCCTTATATGGAATACTGGTACTACAGCAGGTGCCAGATCTCCAATCTCCTTATATGAAATATTGGTACTACAGCAGGCGCCAGATCTCAAATCTCCTTATATGAAATACTGGTACTACAGCAGGCGCCAGATCTCCAATCTCCTTATATGGAATACTGGTACTACAGCAGGCGCCATATCTCCAATCTCCTTATATGGAATACTGGTACTACAGCAGGTGCAAGATCTCCAATCTCCTTATATGAAATACTGGTACTACAGCAGGCGCCAGATCTCCAATATCCTTATATGGAATACTGGTACTACAGCAGGCGCCATATCTCCAATCTCCTTATATGGAATACTGGTACTACAGCAGGTGCAAGATCTCCAATCTCCTTATATGGAATACTGGTACTACAGCAGGCGCCAGATCTCCAATCTCCTTATATGGAATACTGGTACTACAGCAGGTGCCAGATCTCCAATCTCCTTATATGAAATATTGGTACTACAGCAGGCGCCAGATCTCAAATCTCCTTATATGAAATACTGGTACTACAGCAAGCGCCAGATCTCCAATCTCCTTATATGGAATACTGGTACTACAGCAGGCGCCATATCTCCAATCTCCTTATATGGAATACTGGTACTACAGCAGGCGCCAGATCTCAAATCTCCTTATATGAAATACTGGTACTACAGCAGGCGCCAGATCTCCAATCTCCTTATATGGAATACTGGTACTACAGCAGGTGCAAGATCTCCAATCTCCTTATATGGAATACTGGTACTACAGCAGGCGCCAGATCTCCAATCTCCTTTGGATCATTGCAATATTCTTAGCAAAGTACTCAGCAGTGTTTGTTATCACTTCAGCACTTGCAATCCAGTTTGACAACTAGAGTGAAAACTCACAATTTATACATTTGAGTGAACAAAATCCATTTTTAGTCCTCATTCAAACAAAGTTTGAAACAGGGACTTATAATTTGGTCTCCATCCAGAGTCGTATTTCTAAATCTGTTCATTCTTTGCATGTGCCTAGTACATATGCACATGCAGTAGTTTACTAATACAATCCAAGATGGCTGACTGACAGCAAATTGTTTTTTTGAAAATGTGGCATCTTATGCATGCTTAGTCAGTTTTTGTTTAAACTTGGTACTTACATAGTACATTTCAGATTACATGTCCATGACAATTTGTTTTCAATTCAGATCAAAGCTGGCTGATTGAGTGGCGGCCATACTATATCTCCAAGGCTTAGGAACCATTTTCATTCATATTTGGCACATACATCATTGTCAATTTGTTTCATAATCAGATGAAAGATGGCCAACTGGCATCCATATTGTTTTTTTGAAATTGTGGTATTTTAGACAGGATTTGTTAGTTTTCAAATTTGATACAAACATTATACATGTTGATATGCATGTCCATGACTATTCATTTTGTGTATTGTATCTTTGTACATGAGCCTGGACAAATGAGATTTAGTTTGGGTACAAAAAATGCATGAATAGCATATCCTGTTTTAATTTGTGACTATATATTAAAATTTTAGGAGAGTCATTTAATACATCTAATTTCTGTTGTTACTAGACTAGCCAATTATTCACTCTCAATTACTAACTATGATTTTGGTTCCTAACTTTATTTTTGCAATAAATAACATTTCTCCAAATTCCAACAGGAATAGGATATATGAATTCAAAATAAAGTCACATTTTGAGCGAAAGAATTGTTTGAAATTGGCAAATAGTAGTGTTCACTGAATTAATATTTGATCACAAACTGACACTTTCATTTCAGATTTGAGCACCCCCATCAAACATAGTGGAACTTTTGATATGCACACTTTTCAACTATTGAAGTCAAAGCAAAGATGCACAGTGCATAAACAGTAGGATCCACAGCATTGTAGTTTACAATACCTTGACATAAATCTTGTATCTATGCTTTGCAATGTTATTTTTTCTAGTGAACCTATGTACAAAGCTTAATTGATATCTGGTAAATGATTGAAATATCAGAAATTTGTCTAAATTTTGCCCATTAGGTGATTAATATGCATGGATTTCAACTCTAAACTAGTAATATTTGGACTCCCCTTAATAGCACCTGAGTACTAGGTTTCATTGATATCAGGGTAATGATACTAATTACATGTAGATATTTAATAGTCAGAGGCATTGGTTATTAGTATTCACTGATTCAACCCAAAAGTAAATCAGGTCTGCACAGTGCTCCCGGCATCTATCTACCAGGTTTCATTGAAATGTGATTTTAGTTCCTGAGATAATGGCAATTGTTTACCCCAAACTAAGCTGTCTGTGCATTGTCCCAGAGCATCAACTGGTATGCACCAAATTTCCTTATTATTTTTATCCAAAACTAATCAGGTTTTTGCATTGTTCAAGAGCATCTATGTAGCAAGTTTCTTAGACATGAGATGATTAGTTCTTGAGATATCAGTGGAGCAGTGCAAACTTCAGTAAGCAAAAATATATGTCTACTATTAAATACAACAAAAAATAGGGGAGTGCACTCATTGTGATGAATGTATTTTAATACCAAAGAGAAACTTTTGTAACAATAACCGACGCTTTTGCAAAAGATTTGTCTCTTATGAACACTAGTAAAAACGACTGTATTTAGG